ATCAAATTGGATTTTTCAATGAATAATAAATTGGAAGCATCTTTCCTACATAAAATTATTGAATTTGACATTTATCAAAAGATCCAAACAACCAGCACCTTGTTTTACAGGTAATGAAATGTCTTGTCAGTTTCTTGAAAGTATGTCGTGGTCAGTAATTATTTTTGCTAGAAATGCAACAATAGTTATTTATGATATAAGTGTTAAAAGTACATTTTTAAGGCACGCATGTGAAAGTTTGCAGAATGAGCGAAGCGAATTCTGCAATTCACATAAGTGCCTTAAAAATACTTTTAACACGAATATCATACAATATTTTTTCTACAAACGGCAATAACAAGCAATAACCAGTGACAAATTGGATTTTTAAATGAATAATAAATTGGAAGCATCTTTCCTACGTAAAATTATTGAATTTGATATTTGTCAAAAAATTCAAACAACCAGCACCTTGTTTTACAGGTAATAAAATGTCATGTCAGTTTCTTGAAAGTCTGTCGTATGGTCTATCGTGGTCAGTAAGCTTTTTGCTAAAAATGCAACAAAATACACAAGAAAAAGAGGGTTGCATCGATCCCTTGAAAAATATAGAGAAGGCGGCCGATGGAGCTTCCTCAGTTGTTCAAATTTTACCATTAATATTAATGTAAATAATTAAAAATACAAACTTTTTTTGACGTTTGCTTTCAAATTTTGATGTTTCATTTTTAACACTAGTGCCTTAAAGACTTTTAACACTAGTGCAATAAAGTAACATTTTTAATGCTTCGAGGGGGTGTTAAAAATTGCATTTTTAACACGTTTGTAGAAAAAATACAGAAGAAAGAGAAGATTGCATCGATCCCTTGAAAAATATAGATGAGGCGGCCAATCGGGCTACCTCAGTTGTTCCAATTTTACCATTAATATCAATGTAAATAACTAAAAATACAAACATTTTTGACGTTCGCTCTCAAAATTTGATGTTTCATTTTTAACACTAGTGCTATAAAGACTTTATGGCACTAGTGCGATAAAGTAACATTTTTAATGCTACGGGGGGTGTTAAAAATTGCATTTTTGACACGTTTATAGAAAAAGTTTTTTTTTTAAAGATAAAAGTCAAAATGACATTAAGTTGGCAATGCAATGTAAAATTGTCAATGCTTTCAAATTTTTTATGTAGAAAAGGCTTGTGTTGCCAACATAGTTATTGAATTTTTGACTTGGGGAATTATCTTTAAAAAAAAACATACTTTAACTTTCCCCAGAAAAGTGTGCAAAATTTGAAAATAGGCATGAGAAATTGTGCAAATTTAGGTGAACAGGAATTTTTCAAGTTTTAGACAAACAAGGGGGAACGGTCAAATTTGCCCCTAGTTTAAAAAAATGCTCTAGTTTTCGTTGTGTTGTGTGCAAAATTATTATGGTTTAGGTATTTATTTTTGAAATTTGTTTAATACAGGAGGAAACTTGACCGACCCCAAAATTTACTTGTTGGTAAATAAACCGATCTACTGGAAAATAAATAAATAATTCATAATTCGAAATTAAACATAAATTTCTAAGTGGCAAATTTGCCAAATATACTGAAAAAAAAACCTAAAGAAAATGATAGAATAGCATCCATCTATGATATTCGTTGGTAAATTATCAAATATGTTAGAAAATATATGCTTAACTTCCTAATTCCTTTTGGAACGCGTCTGTCTCCCTATGCACGCAAAGCAGATATTTCACTTTAATAACTACTTCATTCAGAGAAGCAGACACGGATGCTGGCTCGCTGGCTGGACGCTGAATCAACAGCACTGACAACTCGGCAACAGTGGGCAATAGACTCGAGCCAGCGTCCACACCGGCAAAAGCCGGCGTCCATCGAGGTATCAAAAATCAGAATACGGACGAGACTTCTAGAGACGTTAGTCTATAATATTCTTTGGCTCGACTCATTTAAGATTGCATGCCTAAATTACGTATTTAAATTTTAGTGAAAGAGTCCATTAACTTTTCTCTTTCGATGAGTACAGATTTTAAGTTCTGCTTCTCTTGCAATACTTTCCATAATTTCTTTCTTCCTTTCTTATTTTATATTTTGATATTTCTTCATACATAAGTAAAAGGCTTGCACATGTTTCCTTTTCCCACATGTTTTCTTTCTGAAGAAGTTTCAGGCTGGCTGATATAGTTTCACTTTCCTCTTTTTCAAAAGTTTAGGATGGAGCTTCATCAAATACAGTAGTTTTGGAACAGTAATAATTATGTGCTGGCTGTCAGAAAAAGTATTCATCTACTTACCCACAAACATTTTAAAACTATCTGTTTTGTATTAAAAATATTCTCTTACAATTAATTTTCTTACATCTCACCTTTTGTTAGTGAAAAAACTATTTTCGCGTTTGTAATGAAGGTCTTGTAATACCTACTATCAGCAATTATTAAGAAACAGATTTTAGAGGTATTTTCCTAAAGTCCGTTAAAAATTTATCGGTACCTCTATATCGCATATTGTAAGTGCAAAGTACTTCAAAAAATTTTAAAAACAAATTAATGATTCCACAAACATGTAAATCTTCGAGTAAATGTTTATTTTGCACATTAGTTGAGTATTTATTTATCGGCTGTGATTTATTTTGTTAATAGCAAATAAATAAATCAGCTAGATAAATTAGAATAATAACAATCTCTTGTTAAGCCTTTGTCAGTTAACAAATACTTTGGAATGTGTAGATGTCAATATGTTAGAATGTGCACCGCTAAGGTTATTTTAAACTAACAAACAGTTACCTACCGAATGATTGATATAGCAGCCCTAAGAGTGAACTGTCAGATTGACCAAAAAGTTCTACTGATTTTCGATTTTAGAAATACATAATGAATGAGACAAAACTATGTATTGATAATAAATTGAATAGATTAAACTATTTAAATTATTATTTGCCGGCGACATAACATTGACTTTGTATCTATGACGCATTAACTCCATACTCCATTCGATTAGGCAGAAAAATAGATTATCCAATGTTTTGTTGTACAAGTTGCAACAAACAATTTCATATTAGATAAGAAGGCGCACTTAATTATGTAATAATCAATAAATAGTTGTTTTAATATACATTATTATATATCCAAGTAACAGATGGTTCAAGTGTTAATTTATTTTTAAACAGTCATTCATAAATCTAATCCCGCTCATCCAAACATCTAAAAGGGTTTAAAATGCTTGTTCACGATCCCCTTATGTATAGAATCCCTTAAGTCTTAGTTTGCACTCAATTTGTCGATTTTTTTTTTGTTCTAGGGAATGGATGTTTTTAAACAGAATCAGATTGATTCGTTATACAATCATAAACATTTTAGGCAAGAAGCCAGAAAGCAGCAGTGTTAATATTAATTATATTGATCCAAATCCAATTGTCAAGTGCAAAAATAATATTTTTCTATTTTGGAGCTTTATTTGTTCTCACCAGTATAAAAACCATCTTCTTTCGGTAATGTGATAGTGAGATTTCCGGATTTAATTAACGCCTCATAAAGCTATATTACTATCTGATCAACTAACTCCTATTCAATGGTCCACAGACTTTTCAACTAACTGTTCAGTTATCGACTGCCTAGCCCTGACCACTTCAATTCTTCTGTAAATTTCTAGATAATTCTTGTCTAGAATTGTCCTTATGAAAATAAATATTTCGCTTTGTTTTTCTCCATGAACTACAGAAATCTGATGGACAGTCCATTTGACCTGCTCCGCTAATTCAGGGCCAATATATATGTTATGAATTCCTCCTATACCTAGTTAAATTCTGTGAAAAAAAAGTATTCTAGGTACTAAACATAGTATATGTAACACACTATTTTTAGGGTCCCAATTTATTTATAGAATTTCGAATTTTATGCTAACAAATCAAGGTCGCGCTTTAAGTCATTTTCATATAGGCAAGTATCCAATTTATTGATGTGATTCCAATGGCATAATTCTGTGAAATAGGGAGGTACGTCCATAAAAGCTCATTGACTTTGACATTGATTTGACATTTTCCCTTGGTGCTCCATTTTATAGCGCGTCGTTGCCTCTAGTCTATTGACTTCAGATATTGTCTATTGACTTCAGATATTTGTAACAATAAGTGGAAGGATAAGAAGACAAAAAAGTCTTGGATCAAAAATACAACCATGGATGGAATCTGAACAGGCCTGAATGGTTGTAAATGTAAATAGAAGTTTATCATAACCACATTAGTAGATAATAGTTATTTACGTCATCAAAAAAAAATGTCTAATAAACTATTTTTACTTTATTAATATCAGTTGCGAAATTACCACCAGCAGAGACATTAAAGAAACTTTTTATGAGATAAAAATGTTATTTTTATCCCCGTTTGTTAGTGTAATTGGGTATGAATGAGCTAATCAGTAATCACGATCAATCACAAGTCAAAGCTTACATAATCTAGTTGATTTTCATAGTCACTTGTATTTTATTATGCCTAATCCAAACTCGAAGAAAAATTAAAAAAACAGTCTGCATTAGCTTATTATAAATGTATAATACCTAAGGTGTTCTCGACATAGGTTTTAAATCAATATTTACGCATTTATTATTAGTTGACTAAAAAAAGAGTCGTTCAAACATAAGTATGTACTTAATTATCTAATCATTAGATATTTAAAGTTTTCCACACTGGTGGTAATAAAGTAATGTCATAACTTTGCATCGAGTTGTCTCGCCATTCATGTGATTATTATAATAATTTGATGAACAAATAAACACCTGTGGGTGCAACAGTCAAATGACGTTACAGATCATGGGATTTTTGTACTAAAAAGTTTTAAAAAAAATGCGAATTTCATGACTAGACTATAGAGATACCGAGAGAGATACATAATTTAACAAGGGTATATGGACTACCTATATGATCGAATATAAATGAACAGATTAATAAAGATCAATAATACACAATTGACGAAAAAGTTGTAAGTAGAAAATTCTAATTAATTGTTTGTGATTTTTTTTTTAGGAATTAGATGGCAGCTCCGTGGCAGGCCCCGGGTGCTCAGGGCCTGTACGACCCCTCGTTCGAAAAAGAGGCATGCGGCGTAGGCTTCGTGGTAGCCATCGATGGCCGTAGGGACAAAAAAATTGTCCGAGATGCCCAACGATTGGCCGTATCCATGAACCATCGAGGCGCGTGCGCCTGCGACAATGATACTGGTGACGGCGCCGGCGTACTTACCGCCATACCTCACGATTTTTATACGGCGAAACTTAAGTAAGTGTCAGGATATTTTATCATTTGCTCGAGTTCATCAGAATGTTGAACATTCGGAGTTCCATTCTCGTTTAATTTCGGTTTTGGCAGAACCATATTATGTCACTCTTACCAACTGGAAATTGACAAAACAAAAATAACCGGTATTTGCATTGTAAATGTAACAGGGATTCATTGAAATTGCAAGAATTTGTAATCTAAAATGCAATAATTAATTATCCAACGATTGTTACTGTAAATTAAAACAGTAACGGCTTTGATTAAAAAAAACTCAAATAATCCATTGATAAAAATTGTATTTTGCGCATTTTCAATCATTTGCGCATATACAAGCTAAATCCCAAATACAAAGAGACTTTGCCAATATTAACTATAATGATGAATACAATGCAAAGCGAAAATAACCCGTAGTGCTGATAAGCATTTAATTGGGTAATGAAAAATAATCGATTTGCACTTATTTTGTTAAAATCCTGTATTAAGGCACGTTTGCGGTTTTTGAGAATAACATCGTAATACCTAATTGTAAGCCTGAGTAATTGTGTGATTCATATGCTCATTTTCTATATGACCATTTTCTTATCGGCATAGGCGCATAAATTATACAGTATCTGGGAACCCGAGCTGCATCTTTATATTGGTGGCTGCAGTTCGGTTATAGTCGGCCTACCTGATAACACTTCACGACCCCGTGAAGTTGGACTTTTAACTAAAAAAAAGCACAAAACAAAATTAGTTTTAATAGACTAGAATAAAAGCCAGTGACGAAACACATTATATATTCGTCTACTGAGTTATCGTCACTAATGTCATCATCAGTAGCTGTCGTAACATAAAGTTTCATTCTGTCTGAAGGACAAATGCCCGAATGCCCGTATAAGCAGTCCTACAGAGTTTCGACCCTTGCAATTCGTCAACTACATATCTGTCATTGTCAAGTACCTTTGACACGAGAAAAGGGCCTTTATACCTAGGTATCAAGCTTTCTACTCCTTCCCTCATTGGAGACCTTACTTGCCTGATCCAACACTTGTTGGCCAACTATACGATTTATTAGCTGGGGCATGCCTCTTATCATAATACTCTCTGCAACTCTTGCCGTTTTTGAGTAACTTCAACCACTTCTTCACGCATTGCATCAAGGTCTTGCCGTTCTTCGCATGCGACCTCTGAAGCAAGAAAAGAGTCATTAACGCCATGTGGGCATCAACCAAAGAAAATCTCGTAAGGCGATTTTCCAGTTGTGGAATTAACCGTTGAATTAATTCCTCATCTAACTACTTATGGCGTCGTCCCATCGGGACTCATCTTCGATAAAAGCCAATAGAGTCAACAGAATTGACCGATTTATCCTCTCCACATGCCCATTAGCTCTAGGTGTAGTGATCGCACATAGATCACGTTTAATACCTAACAAATGACAAAAGTCCGTAAAACTTTTGCTTATAAACGCTGTTCCACGATCGCAAATCAATCTTCTTGGAACTTCAAACATGTCAATGATGTATTCCAGGAAACGTAACACTGCTAATGTTTTTTTACTTGCTATACTGTTTTGAAGAATACGAATTTGGTAAATGCATCTACCACAATTATCAAATATGCATTTTTCCTAACGCTTGTAACAAACGGTCCCACTTGATCGATGTGTAGTGTGTCCATGATGGGCATACTTAATTTTTCGATTGGATTTAGACTTCCAGGTTGTTTATCGGATGGCCTTTTATCACAGATTATATAGACACCCTAATCAGGATCGTATATAGTTCTTCACATAATTTCTCATTTCTGGAAACCAATAACGTGCATTCATAGCTTCCAACGTTTTGTCTACTGCATCACTTTGCAGAAAGTGACCAGTTCCAACATGGTAATATATGTCGATAGTTCGCCTGGATGATTTCGGTACTACCCATTTCCGTCCACCATTTGTAATTCTCTATGTTGTATAAACGGTTATCTTGTATAGGATTTTTACGCCATATTTAGGATGACGTCACATTTAGTAAATTTCTGCTGCCAACCTAACAAAACTAAAGGTACTTTTTAACGCATTTAAAGTAGGGGAGTTTCAGATACTTTTGGTTAGCAACGGCGCGCGACATTGCATGACTTGTATAAAAATTTTCATTTCGTTATTTTTAGCTGTCGTCAGAATTATTGACACATGACATTCTGGTAAATTATAAAAAAAAAGATAGGCATTAACCACATTAGGCCTTTTCGGAAACGCTGATCCCATTAATCGGATCACCAGCTGATATCCTTGGTCTTTTTTCAATCGTATTCAGTTAAGGAAGATAAACGACAAGCAGCTGCGGTGATCGGGTTAATCGGATCAGTGTTTCCGAAAAGGCCTATTGTTTGTCTTCGTTTGATGACGTCATCCTAACATAAAAAACCTATAGGCAATAATTTTCACGGATTCCTTTGGTCTCACGATCATCTGACGCTGACGGTTTTCGTGATAGCGCTTTTATTAGCTAGCGAAATCATGGAGTTGTGCAGACAATACGCAATCCTCCTCGTATATATTAACATTCATAACGTCAATGTTTTGGATTGGACCTCTGCTCAAAGCATCCACGTGCGCCATTTTGGTTCCTGGGTGGTATTCGATGTCAAAATCGAACTCCTGCATGGAATGTCACCATCTAGCAATACGTGGGACCAAATCTCTTTTCATTAATGTGTGGCAGAGTCAATTGCAGTCTGTAACAACTTTAAATTTTTTCCCTATGAGGTAAATTCTGAACTTTTTGAGGGCCTCCACTAATGCCAACGTTTCCAAATTCCAACTCATAGGAATGACTCCTGTTCGGCTGAAGTATTGAATGGGTTTCATCTAAAACCCATTATCGCTTTGTTTGTATTTTGTCAAATGCTTTTTGGAAGTCAAAATAAATCACATCGATTGGTTCGTGGTTGTCATCTGACAGTGTCCAGTGGTCGAGTCTTGTTAGGAAATTTGTAATCGTCGATTTCCCCGGAAGAAAGCCGTGCTGCTGATCTGGTATGATTCGTGTGTCCATAAAAAATTGGGTGAGCTCTTTTGCGATTATTTTCTCCATACATTTGCACAGTGTACTCGTTAAACTAATAGGTCGATAGTTTTCTGCATGCTGTTTATTTCCTTTTTTTATAAATAGGCGCCACTACTGCTTTTTTCCATGCTGCAGGGAACTCCCCTGTTCTTGCTATGTTATTAAGCATGTCAGCTAGTGGCCCTTTTAGCACCTGGATACAGTTCTTGAGGAAGACAGGAGGAATTTCGTCGAGCCCTGGACTTGATGATAGTTTAAGTGATTTTACTGCAGTTTCAACTTTTTCCGGAGTGAACACGATATTTTTCAACTCGGTTGTAGCATATGCATATGGTAGTGTGAGCAGAACCGTATTCGAGTTGAATACTGTGAAAACTTTCTCGAACTTTTCTGCAAAACACTCTGCAATATCTTGATTTGATGTTTGTGGTTCTTGTGTTATTTTATCAATTAGGCTAAATTTGTGATGTTTTGTGTTGAGGGTGCGATTTATGTAGGCGTAGAATTGTTTACTATTATCCAATAGGTTATGTTCATAGGTTTTTCTAGCCGATGCTATGTATAGAGGAATAAAAAAAAACGAAGGAGAAATAGAAGAATTCATTGGGTACACCTTCTAATCACTTTTGGGCAAGAATAGAGCATTCTATACCATTTTCTCGAAGCTAAGAGAAAACGAAGAAAAATTTCTTTAAATACTTTAGGATGACAACTAAATCATTTGATGAATTACACGTGAACTTAAAGGATCATCTTCAATGCCAATACATTTATGAGGGTTGAAACCGAAACAAACCGCGCGTGTGTGAACGTTTCAATTGGCTTCTGTTCCCCAGGCACGAGTTTAGCCCTTATAAAAACCTGCTGAAACCTATTCGTGTCGAAGGAGTATTCGGTGTTGTACGGTTTCTATTTGGTACCGAACAGAGACCGAGACCGAAGCACCGTTACACACCTTCTCAGTAGCAACCGAAAACGAATCGAACCGGATGGAACCGTATACGTGTGAAACAGGCCTTATACAGCTCTTTTCTATTTTCGGTGCATCGCTCCATTCTGTTGGTGGATATTTTTCTTTGAGTTGCACTCGTTTCAGATTTGTCCAATTTGTCGTCACGTAACGTCGACAAATATTCCGACAGAGCTTCTGGCGTGACGTAACGGCCTGCTCTTGCACCATTATGGACATCAACATCGGTAAGGCCATCAATGATGCAGATGCAGGAAGCTGCATTTCTCCCAATTATTTGGCACTGAAGAAATAGTTGGTCATGGTTTCTCCTCTCTATTTTGTCCGTCCCATCATTTTCCTTAACGCCATGGCGTAATCAACATGATCAGGTAAAATTTGAGAAATTAATGTTTTCCATTCTATCCAGGAACTGGGATATTGTTGTAATCCATAATACCAATTTCGGGCCATACCACTAAATCGAGATTGCACCTGGTAGATTGTTGTAACATCATCCCAGTTATTATTATTTTTAATTTGGTCAATCTTGTCTAACCAAGCTACGACCGATAAGTTTTCATTCTCAGGATCAAATTCTGGAATGCTTCGGACAGAAAAACGCTAAAATTCCGTTTGTGGTCCCTGCCTAACAAAAAGCTCTAATAATTTTTCAAGGCGTTCAACACGCTCATAAACGGAAGTCGCAGTTACAGTAGAAGGCGATTCTGTTGAAGTACTGACTCTGTTGCTCTCAACTTCTTGTAAAATAGCCTGGTTTGTGTGCCGACACAGTACTTTGATGCATACACATAACTGTTTTTCCTTTCTGGATTGTTCACCGTTGTTCCTTTTTGACTTATTCCCCAAGAAGGGTGTATCATAAGAGCGCTTGAAGCTTGATTTCTTTTTATATCTTCCAGAAGAAGAGTCTGAATCACTTGAGGTTCCGCTTGAACTTGAGCTACTGAACTATAAATTGAAGATAGTTTATTCCAAGACAAGAAATATAGTTTATTTAATAAAATTATTATTATAGTAATAGACAATAAGAAAATACCCGAGAGCGTCTTTTTGACGTGTTGACCCTACGTTATCATCAATCACTTCCTCGCTTTCTTTTGCCTTTTTCTTCGCCTGACAATATAACAAAAAAAAGGTTTTACATCCTACATGAATTCTTACTAGTATTGTAGTAGCTATTAGTAAACATTGCAACAAAATTATGTCTTGGTAAATTTGATTTTTTATTCGACAGAGACGAGCAAAATGTCCAACTGCCACCATTCGGTCGTTACGCCACTGGAATATTCTTCCTGGACAAGTTGCACCATCAAGAATCCGAAACCAAGTTTGGTGCTCTGGCAGAGGAGCTGGATTTGTCCGTGTTGGCTTGGCGTACTGTCCCAACCAATAATTCCGCCATAGGAGCTGTAGCTAAAAGTTCTGAGCCGTTCATGCGTCAAGTTTTCATAGTTCCGAAAGCATCGTTAGAAAATGTCCCAGAGCAAGAATTGGACCGTACCTTTTTCGTTTTAAGGAAAAGAGCGAGCCACGAGATCCCAGCTCCGGCAAAGAGATTCTATATTTGCTCGTTGAGCCGAAGAACGGTGGTTTATAAAGGTCAGCTAACCTCGGATCAGTTGTGGTCTTATTTCCCCGATCTTCTGGACCCTTTATATGATACTTATTTGGCTCTGGTACATACCAGATTCAGTACTAACACGTTTCCTAGTTGGGAAAGGGCGCATCCTTTAAGGATGATAGCTCACAATGGTGAAATTAATACGCTTCGGGGCAACGTCAATTGCATGAAAGGCAGAGAAGGCGTAATGAAAAACGAATATTTTGGAGAAAAATTAAAACAGCTTTTCCCAGTAGTTGAACCGAATTTATCGGACAGTGGTTCCGCAGATTGCGTTTTGGAATTTTTGGTGCACGCAGGTCAGCGCAAGTTACCGGAAGCAGTGATGACCATGGTTCCGGAAGCTTGGCAAAACGATCCGACAATGCCGGAAGAGAAACGCAACTTTTACCATTGGGCCGCTTGCACGATGGAACCTTGGGATGGACCTGCACTTATTTCCTTCACTGATGGGCGATTCATTGGTGCCACTTTAGATAGGAACGGGCTGAGACCTTCCAGATTTTATATTACCAAAGATAATATTATGGTTATGGCTAGTGAGGTAAGATGAATGTATAATTATCTGAAAAATGATAATTTTCAATGGATTTTTTCAGGTTGGTGTGTACGATGTAGACCCAGCCAATGTTATTTTAAAAAGCCGCTTGAAGCCTGGTAGAATGCTACTAGTGGACACAGTGGAAAAATCTGTTATTCAAGATGTGGAATTGAAACACCAAATTGCTCTGTCTCGGCCTCATGCTGAATGGCTTAGAGAACAGGTAAGGCTTTTTAATATTAATTAATATACAAACTACATACATCTGAAATATCAATGCTAAAACTGATCTTTTTTATTTTTTTCCGTATCTCCTTTATTGGATTCTCTAGATGGTGAGTTGTGTGTAAAATTTGATGTGACTTTTGTTCTTAACGGCTTCATTTTGCTTTTCTATTAACTTTTTCAAATAAAATTTTCTGTAATTAAAATATACATTGCATCGCAGATCTCGATGGAAGAATTAAGAAAAGCCCATTTGGATGCAGGACGTCAGGCTAAACCCAAATATGAACCCAGCGGACTAGGAGACAAACGATTACCTTTATATGGATACTCTACAGAAACTATTCATATACTGTTGCTTCCTATGATCAATAATAAGTGAGTAGTCTTTGTTTCGGCAAACTTTATATAAAATGTTTTGTTCTTCAATTCCAGAAAAGAAGCTTTAGGTAGCATGGGTAACGACGCACCATTGGCTTGCCTTTCAAATTTCTCTCCTCTCGTTTACGAATACTTTAAGCAATTATTCGCGCAAGTCACAAACCCACCCATTGACCCATTTCGTGAAAAAAATGTTATGTCTTTACAATGTCCCATTGGTCCAGAAGCTAATATTTTGGAACCTAACGCGAAACAGGTAATATTAATCAATCACACTTAGTACATACTAATAATTGATTAACGTAGGTGCATAGATTGTGGTTGAAAAACCCTGTAATATCTATTTCGGACTTGGACATGTTCAAACAAGTCACCCATAGAGGATGGACATCTCACGTAATCGACATAACATTCCCCGTAGAAACAGGAGTAGAAGGTTTCATAAAGAAAATTGAAGAAATTTGCGAGGAAGCTGATGAAGCTGCCAAAAAAAATCAAATCATAATTCTCTCGGACAGATTGACCAGCAAAGACAAAGTGCCTGTAAGCAGTTTGTTAGCTTTAGGCGCCACCCATCATCACTTAATCGAAACTCGCCGTCGTATGAAAGTAGCTTTAATTGTCGAAAGCGCGGAAGCCAGAGAAGTGCATCATATCTGCGTGCTGTTGGGTTATGGGGCTGATGCCATCTGCCCCTATTTAGCTTTGGAGTTAGCCTCTAGCCTCAGAGACCAGGGGATTTTGGACACCAGTTTGACTGACGAAGCTATTTATCAGAATTATGCTCAGGCGATGCAAACGGGTATTAGCAAGGTTATGGCTAAAATGGGCATTTCAACGTTGCAGTCTTATAAAGGAGCTCAAATATTTGAGGCTGTTGGTTTGGCCGAGGACGTTGTTGAAAAGTGTTTTAAAGGAACACCTTCAAGAATTGGTATGTAGAATGATATGTATAATGTTATTTGTTTTAGACAACAACACTTTTATGATAATGTAGTACTGATATGTTTAAATTTTTATTGCATTAAAAACTACATGGACCCGTTTTAAAAAATTACATTGTCCAAGTTACCATTTTCCATCCATATCCAGTCTTTCAAATTATACTATGAATTTTTATCAGAAACTCACACGTCAGATATCTAGATCAGCAACTTTATTAGTTGAGGTGTTTCTATAAAAATCACACGTGCTCAAATCTGGTAATCGAGCTGGACAAGAGATAACACCAAACTGGGATGTTACTCTTCTTATTGCAAATTCTTGCTGAAACCATGATTGTGTTTCTTTAAAAAAAAATAACCGATTTTAACATATATTTTGAAAAGTGCCCATCATGCCACAGTACCATTCAGAATTAACTATTAAAGTCCACCTCAAAATTAAATGCCTGAAAATATGTTTGATTTATTCCAGGTGGCGTTAGTCTGGAATTATTGGCAGCAGAAGCATTCGAAAGGCATAAAAATGCCTATCGGCACTCTACCGATGCTCAGATTCTCAGAGACGCCGGCAAATACCATTGGCGTGCGGGCGGCGAAAAGCATCTGAACGAACCGGCCAGCATAGCCTCGCTCCAAGAATCCGCAATAAATAAAAATAAATCTGCTTACAATAAATTCATTGAGAGCACAATGCAATCTGTGAAAGATTGCATGTTGAGAGGCCGATTTGAACTCAGGACTTTGGATCAGGCGTTGCCTTTGGACGAAATCGAACCCGCTTCAGAAATCGTTAAACGATTTGCTACTGGAGCTATGAGTTTCGGTTCTATTAGTTTGGAAGCGCATCAAACTTTGGCTGTTGCGATGAACAAGGTAAGAATCATTTGAATTTCTACATGACATTGAAACAACTTTGGGACATTTATTTCCTAAATATTCGTGGCCTTGAAACCAAAAATCATTATTCAACAAGTTATTTTATACAGATAGTACACAAAACATTGAAATCCCCTTTTTTTCTTCTTTCTTATCGCACAAGTATATCAGCAATACGGTACTATGGTTTATTTATTTCCAATATAGATTTTGGCATTGTCAACTTTGAAACATAAACAATGCCGCTAATGCCGCTTATTGGTCGCTATTGTAAAACTGATGTCAACCTGCAGAAATATCTCATTTTGCGACCAATCAGGGTCAAGCGTTATTGTTTATGTTTCAAAGCTTTCAATGTCAAAATCTATCTTGGGAAAAAATAAAGTGTAGTTTTTTTGATGTGATTGTCTATACTTTGCACCCACACCTATCTCACCTGTTTGAAGAAATACCCAGAAATGTCAAATGTGAAAGTTGTAGGTAGTCAGGTACCTATTTAGAAGTACCTGTCGTTTTAGTGACAAAACGTATGTCGCTTCTTGACACACAAATAAAATTAGGTTAGAAATTTCCTATTTGTAGATAAAATTGACGTATTAGCAATCGACATTCGTTTTTGTTGGTAATTTTTTGTTTCATCTGATTCGTGATTGATAAATAAGGATCGGGTTATTCTAAATGGGTATTACAAATGCTATAATGTCAGAAAGTTTTCAATGAAGTTAGTTACAAGCTTACAGGGTGTGGCAAAGCAAAGTTTAACTTTTTTAAATGGAACACCTCGTATTAGTCCGGGGGCCGAGGACCTTTTTTCCAAATAATTAATAACAAGCTAGTTTTTTCAATGCAGCTTCATTTCACCGAGACGCCCAACTTTTTTCTCTTCGAAAATTGCGAAAACAGGTAGCTAACATACTGCGCAGGTGTAAAACATGTCGATTTGGTGACTATGAAAATTTAATTAATAACAGTTAGTTTTTCAGCTAAATGTTGAGATAATTTTATGAATAATTTGAAACAACATTTCTCCGACAAAATAAAGGGTGTGGTCTACGATGTCCCCCCCCTCAAACATGTAGCAATTACGTTGCATAAAAAATGATTAATAACAAGTTGATTTTTTCAATGTAGGTTGGTAAATATTATTACAATTAAATGGTCACACTGTCCTACAAATAAACAGGTAGCTATTTTCAGTCCTACACTCAAAAGTTGTCGATTTCACGATTTAACTTTTTTCATTAATAACCGGCTAAATCTTCGTGAGTATCTTCATTTTTATAAGACGCCCAAATTTTCTGTTGCGAAAATTCCAAAAACAGGTAGCTAACAGAGTGCGCAGGTGGAAAACATGTCTATTTGGTGATCATACAAATGTAAATAATAACAGTTAATTTTGTAGCTGAATGTTGAGATAGTTTCATAAATAATATGAAACAACATTTGTCCGACAAAATAAATGGTTTGATCTTGGCTGTCTCCCTTCTCAAACATGTAGCAGATACGTTACATAAAAAATGAATTATAACCAGTTGATTTTTTTAATGTATCTTAGTAAATATTACTACAAATAAATGGTTACACTGTCCTACAAATAAAGAGGTACATTTCTCCAGTCCTACACTCAAAAGTTGTCGACTTCACGGTAATACTTTATTCATCAATCACCGGACACCGGCTTAATCTTCTCGAGCATCTTCGTATTGATAATACGCCTAACTTTCCTATTGCGAAAAGTTGCAAAAGTAGTAGCTAAAATCTTTTTTTTTTTTAAAGATAAAAGTCAAAATGACATTACGTTGGTAATACAATGTAAAATTGTCAATGTTTTCAAATTTTTATGTAGAAGAGGCTTGTATTGCCAACATAGTTACTAAATTTTTGACATGGGGAATTATCTTTAAAAAAAAAAACAACTTTACTAGAGTGAGCACTAGTGAGCACATGTAAAATACCTTGATTAGGTGATTATGCAAATGTAATTATTAACAGTTAACAGGTAATTTTTCAGGTGAATAATGAGATAATTTTATAAATAATTCGAAATTCGAATTGTGCCACATAATAAATGGTTTGGTCTGCAGTGTCCCGTTTCTCAAAAATGTAGCAATTACTGGCTCATAAAAAACGATTTATAACCAGTTGATTTTTTTACTGTAGTTTGGTAAATATAACTACAATTGAATGGTCACATTGTCCTAAAGAGGTAAGATTTCTCAGCCCTACATTCGAGAATTTCGAAAATAGCCCTATGCATATTATACGTAAATATGTACAGGGCTTTCATTTCAAAACTTACCACCCACGTTATCTGCGTAAAGAGACAGATTTCTGGAAAAAAAGATTAAATTCAAGAATTTTACCTTTTGTATTTTGAAAAATATAATTATTAAAATATTTGATTTTTGATATACCTATCTCTTTTATTTTTGAGCTGTCGAGAAAATATTATTTGGAAAACTCCTGTATTTTTTGGAACTTGAAAAAATACAGGAGTTTTCCAAATAATATTTTCTCTTTCGTTATTTAAAAAGAAAAACTCTAACTTAGAAAACACCCTGTATTCACCCTATATACAGCAAAAAAAACGCGCCAGATTTAATACATTAAAAAAGGAGCTCTATTTTTTTTAAAATATCTTTAGAATTAAGATGAACCGGTTGGATCAAACCTTCTCCATCTGGGTATGGAAAATGACAAAGGACATGGCCCCCTCTACTTTGATGGCAAGCCAAAACTCTTTTTCGAGCAATTCAAATCCGGCGCGCTTTTTGAATCATCCTATACTACGATACTGTGTTATTTACGAGCATGCGCGTCGATGCGAATGGAAACCGACATAAATGTAGGTATGTGCACATACACATAACACATATACTGTTATACACGCACCTGTATATTGTTCGTCGATTTTTAACTGATACTTGCGGTATGAGGAGCGAGGGGGTGTTTCATATGGCAAAAACAGGTGTGATGTCAAGTAACCATTGGCGTTCTAATGTAGGGAACCACCAGCTCACATTCCGTCCGAGTATCAGATTAAAATCGACGAACAATACGTACATATGTACATACAGGGGCTTTCATTTCGAAATTTGCCACCCACGTTATCTGCCTAAAGAGACAGATTTCTGGAAATCGCCGGAACACGTCAACAAATTAACGCACCCCCTCAATAAATTTGTTGACATGATGTTTCGGCGATTTCTAGAAATCTGTCTATTTACGCAGATAACGTGAGTGGCAAGTTTTGAAATGAAAGCCCTGTACATATTCACGTATAATCTGCATAAGGCTATTTTCGAAATTCTCGAATGTAGGGCTGAGAAATCTTACCTCTTTAGGACAATGTGACCATTCAATTGTAGTTATATTTACCAAACTACAGTAAAAAAATCAACTGGTTATAAATCGTTTTTTATGAGCCAGTAATTGCTACATTTTTGAGAAAGGGGACACTGCAGACCAAACCATTTATTTTGTGGCTCAAATCGAATTTCGAATTATTTATAAAATTATCTCATTATTCACCTGAAAAATTAACTGTTAACTGTTAATAATTACATTTGCATAATCACCTAATCAAGGTATTTTACATGTGCTCACTAATACTCACTCTAGTAGCTACTACTTCTGCAACTTTTCGCAATAGAAAAGTTAGGCGTATTATCAATACGAAGATGCTCGAGAAGATTTAGCCGGTGATTGATGAATAAAATATTACCGTGAAGTCGACAACTTTTGAGTGTAGGATTGGAGAAATGTACCTCTTTATTTGTAGGACAGTGTAACCATTTAATTGTAGTAATATTTACTGCTACATTAAAAAAATCAACTGGTTATAAATCATTTTTTATGTAACGTATCTGCTACATGTTTGAGAAGGGAGATAGCCCAGATCAAACCATTTATTTTGTCGGACAAATGTTGTTTCATATTATTTATGAAACTATCTCAACATTCAGCTACAAAATTAACTTTTATTATTTACATTTGTATGATCACCAAATAGACATGTTTTCCACCTGCGCACTCTGTTGGCTACTTGTTTTTGGAATTTTCGCAACAGAAAATTTGGGCGTCTTATCAAAATGAAGATACTCACGAATATTTAGCCGGTTATTAATGAAAAAAGTTAAATCGTGAAATCGACAACTTTTGAGTGTAGGACTGAAAATAGCTACCTGTTTATTTGTAGGACAGTGTGACCATTTAATTGTAATAATATTTACCAACCTACATTGAAAAAATCAACTTGTTAATAATCATTTTTTATGCAACGTAATTGCTACATGTTTGAGGGGGGCGACATCGTAGACCAAACCCTTCATTTTGTCGGACAAATGTTGTTTCAAATTATTCATAAAATTATCTCAACATTTAGCTGAAAAACGAACTGTTATTAATTAAATTTTCATAGTCACCAAATCGACATGTTTTACACCTGCGCAGTATGTTAGCTACCTGTTTTCGCAATTTTCGAAGAGAAAAAAGTTGGGCGTCTCGGTGAAATGAAGCTGCATTGAAAAAACTAGCTTGTTATTAATGATTTGGAAAAAAGGTCCTCGGCCCCCGGACTATATATTATTGACCCATTGGATTAGACTTTCAAACCTGATTTGGTGGTTTGTTTGTGTAAGCACGTGTTCGGCGATTGCTGATCTATCTATTTGTCCCTGCTGACAGTTTCTTTTGTGCTCTTTGATCCTGGTCATGATAGAGCGTTTGGTTTTCCTACGACAGATTCACAAGACAAGGGAATTCTATAGACACCAGCCGTTTCAAGAGGTGCCCTAAGATCCTTGGCCGATCTTAGACTTTGAGGAATTGTTCTTGTGGGCTTAACGTTGTGTTTTTCTAGCGTTCGTCCTATGCGATCTAGGACATTTTTGATATAGGAAAGAAAGGCTCTCCCTGCCACCTCTCTTGTTATTTGTGCGCTGTTGCTTCGGTCTTATGGCTCTAATTATCTCCTGCTTGGAGTACCCATTTCCTTTAAGTGCTGATTTTAGGTGTTGCATCTCGTTTGAAGGTATCTGGGTTCACAAATCGGAATTGCCTTGTCAGATAGAGTTTTAATGACTCCTCTCTTTTGCCCAACAATAAAAATACCAAAAAGGTGAGATGTCAGAGATTATTACTAATTACCTGTTATTGACTTGTAGCAAAGGTGACTAATAACAGGCAAGTAGTTATCGCTCTGCGACATCCCCACAAAAAAAAAATCATGACCCAGTATTTTTAGCTCTTCCTCTTGTTACTGGTCCTCTATACTTTCGAAGGTTTTCAGTTCCACTTCTATAGGCTCACCATTAATTAGGCTGGACTCGTTGCTGCTTCGAAACAGAACACCTTCAAATTGTCTCGTATCATCTACATGAACTTTTAAAAAATGATCGTCTGTTAACACCTCACATGTTCGTTCACCTTTTTTCTCCGTTATTTTATGCGGTCCTGTCCATGTTTTCCCCAAAGATCTTTCCTTTGTTTTGCGAAATTCACGAATGAATATTTGCTGACCTACTCGAAAATCTGGAAATTTCCTACCTGAATTTGTATAGACCGGGTAGGTATTGAATTTTATTTGGTTTTCTTTTGCTTGTAAAAACCGATTTTCTTTTTCTTGCGCCGTATTTTCCAATTTTTTTATTTTTGGATTCCTCTATTCTCCAGGCCTTACAAGAGTATACCCAAATAGCAATACACTGGGAGCAAATCTCGAGGCTCGGTTTTTTCTGTTGTTTATCGAAAATAAAATATTGTCAATATCTTCATCCCACTGTTTAAAACCTGCTGATATAGACTGAATCCTTAAAGCTTTTTTCAGTTCCTGATTTCGCCTTTCTAATGGATTTGCTCTTTGATGATAAATCGGAGTTGTATAATGTTCTATGAATAAATTTTTCAAAAAATGTTGCTATTCGTTGCTTGCAAACTGCGGACCGCAATCTGTTGTCAGAAATTCTGGAAAACCCCATGTACCAAAAATATTTTTGAGAAATTCAATGAGAACAGAACAACATCGTATACTGGCCACGCGTCAATCCATTTCGTGCATAGGTCTGTTACCACCACAAAATATTTTTTACCCTTCTTTGTTCTTGGGTAGGAGAGTCCCATTATATCCATACTTAAACTTTGCCATGGTCTTGCTTGAGGCTGCTTTCGGTTTTAACGGAGCATGAGGCTGACTTAAATCGCTTTTGTTGAAGCATGCTCTTAACTTTTTTGCGATATCGCAAAAAGTTGACATTTCCCTGCTGCGGGACAAATTTTAAAAATTTCGCGTCCGCAACGCGATTTTCCGGTCCAAGAGAACTAGGCTGTGTCTCTCCAAAACTAACCTAAGGTGAAATAAAGGATCTTCGTGATTATTTGAATAGATAATTATATCATCCAAATATACTTTGACAAATCTGTCAATATAACCTTCCAGAACTTCAGTTATGAGTTTTTGAAATGTAGATGCAGCGTTCCTTAAACCAAACGGCATAGCTAAAAATTCGTACATAGCACCATTTGGAGTCCCAAAAGCTGTAAATTTAGTACTTTTCGGTTCCATTGACACTAGCCAGTATCCCCTTTTTAAATCCAATGATGAAAATACCTGTGCATTACTAAGATCTTTTATTGTATTTCTTAAATGCGGCAACTGCGATACCATTGGCTCAGTTTGTTCATATAAAACCGAGGTGAAACATCTTTTTTTCCACAATCACAACTTGTGAATAAAAACTAGAACGACTTCTTTTGATTACACCTGCAGCTAACATTTTTCTTACCTGATCTTGGAGAATTTCTCTTTTCTTCTGGGAATATTGATATCGTCTGATCTTGAATGGTGTTTTTAGGTCTATAAGTGTTATTCTATGATCTACTAATTTTGTAGTTGGTTGTCGCAAACCTTCTTAATATGTATTTAATATGTTTTTGTAGATGCTTATTGTCTTGTCTGTTAAATCAGTTAAATCGAAAGTAACATTTTGTTGATTTGGTTTTTGTTTTGTTTTTTCAGGATAAATATTCCAATATACTGTGAACCTGAATTGTTTTCCCAAGTGAATACAACCTTGAACAAAATCTAAAATTGCATTATGCATTTGTAACCAATCCTGTCCTAGAATAGCATCTTCTGACAATGAGTCTCGAAATTTTGTATCAAATATTTTTCCATCCAGTAAAATAGGCACAATTTGGAAACCTGGGCTGGAACTCTGTAACGGATAGAAATCGGTATCCCTATCGCTATGGCACTTGCTGTCGTCTTCTTTCTTGTCGAAATCAATAGAGAGGAAACGTCAATAGAGATAGAGAAAATATCTGTATTCGTTACAGAGTCTCAGCCCTGATGTTTTGAAAGTAACATCTTCTTTGGCTTATCTTACAGTTGTCAAAATGTCCGTTAAATTATTACTTAGGGCGAAACGCTTATTTAAGAATGAATCGCTTGCTCCCGTATCGAGTAATGCTATAATTTGCTTGTTATTTACTGTAATTTGAATATGTTGTGATTTTTTGTCTAAATTATAGTTTTTGATAGTGCTTAGGGTCGGTATTTTTGGTGGCCGACCTTCAGCTTGTTTTTTGTATTCAAATAACTTTGTCTTGGTCGTGGACAGTCTTTTAATAGTGCCACTCACCACAGAACCTACAAGCTGAAGGAGGTCTTGAATTTGATGTATACTTTTTATCCTTTTCTCATCTGTTTCATTTATATCTTTGAGATCGTTTTTATACAATACTGACGCTTGAATTAATTCTTCAAAGTTTGAAAAATATCTTCCTCTCAAATTAATGCGTAAATCTGGTTTCAATAATTCTAAAACTCTTATAACCATTATTTTCTCTTTTAAGTTCGTTTAAGTCTTAAGACGATAAAACAAGTTACGTTTGTTAGTTGAAAAGATCCTATCCTCATTTGTTTGCTTTTCGCCATTAGGCCTTTAGAGAATCGTTATCGAATCTTTCCAAAAGTATATTACAGAGAGAATCAAAACTTACGTCATGTAGTTCATATGCAGAGAACCATGATTTTGCTTCTTCCTCCAGATGATGCATTACATAACTAGTTTCACATTCCTTTGGAACTTTATAAGTACTTTTCAAAATAGGATCTAAATTCCTGGACAAATTTTTTCGGACTCTGCCAATCCAATCCTGCAAACACTGGTAGCTAGACAGGAGGTTGTCTTGTGAGCCTAATCTCTTTCCAAAGTTCAGAAGTTATGGAAGCCACATCCTGTAATATGTTCTCTGATAAATTCTGTTGTGAAGTTTCTCCATAAATCGAGAAGTGTAGTGGTGCTGATCCTTCAGGGTTTTTATTTTGGGTGTTCGTATCATTGAGTTGGGCGTCATATCGTCGTGGGGTTGTATTGGGGGTCATGATCGCTGTATGACCTGGTGTAAACCCTTTTAGACATTGCGAAGTTTTACTCTTGTTTCGTAATAGTTGCGATAATGGTGGAAATGCGGATTCCTCATTCATTCTCACTTTTAAACTTGAACCCTGAAACCTGGGTTAAATTGATAAATTGAAATCTATTGACCATAGAATCCATATACTTCGACAATAACAATAAAGATACCAAAAAGGTGAGATGTCAGAGATTATTACTAATTACCTGTGATTGACCTGTAGCAAAGGTGACTAATAACATGGACTAATAACAGGCAAATAAGTATATTGCTCTGCGACAGTGTTCCATTCAAAAAAGTATAACTTTGCTTCACTACACTTTTTTGACACACCCTGTATACTTGTAAATAACTTCATTGTCTAGTTTCTGAAATATACTACATCTTTCACATTTGACTTTTTTGAGTATCTTTTCAAACAGGTTAGTTATGTGATGGTAAAAAATATAGACAATCACCCGGTACCTGTGGATGTACTAATAATATCTATTATCCATTTCAGTTAGGCGGCAAAAGTAACACAGGTGAAGGCGGCGAAGATCCAGAAAGATACCTGGACGCTCAAAAAAGATCGGCAATCAAACAAGTAGCTTCAGGCCGATTCGGAGTAACTTCCTCTTACTTGGCCCACGCTGACGATTTACAAATCAAAATGGCTCAGGGAGCCAAGCCCGGCGAAGGCGGTGAATTGCCCGGCTATAAAGTTTCTCCTGAAATCGCCAAAACTCGTCACTCCGTACCTGGGGTGGGTCTAATTTCTCCACCGCCTCATCACGACATTTACTCAATCGAAGATTTGGCAGAATTAATTTATGACTTGAAATGTGCCAATCCTCAAGCGAGAATTTCAGTGAAATTAGTATCAGAAGTGGGAGTTGGAGTTGTTGCGAGTGGCGTTGCCAAAGGCAAAGCCGAACACATTGTAGTGTCAGGTCACGACGGTGGTACTGGAGCTAGTTCGTGGACTGGCATTAAGAACGCAGGTTTACCTTGGGAATTAGGCATAGCCGAAACCCATCAAGTTTTAGTGTTGAACAACCTCAGATCCAGAATAGTTTTACAAGCGGACGGACAAATACGTACAGGTTTTGACGTTGTAGTGGCCGCTTTATTAGGTGCAGATGAAATCGGCTTGAGTACAGCCCCCTTAATCGCTATGGGTTGTACCATGATGAGAAAATGTCACTTGAATACTTGTCCTGTAGGAGTAGCCACTCAAGATCCTGTATTAAGAAAAAAATTCACTGGACAACCTGAGCATGTTATAAACTACCTATTTATGTTGGCTGAAGAAATTAGGGAGTATATGGCTAAATTGGGCGTGAGGACGTTTCAAGAACTAGTAGGGCGGACCGATTTACTGAAAGCTATCGAAACAGGATCTATGAAATCAAAAATGCTTAATTTAAACTTAATTTTACAAAACGCCTTACACATGAGACCAGGAGTTAACATTAAAGGTGGCTCCGAAACTCAAGATTTTCAATTAGAGCAAAGGCTCGATAATCAACTTATTGATTTAGCAAAACCAGTAATTGAAGGCCTTCAAGATACCTTGGATGTTGAAATGAGGATTAAAAATGAAGATAGAGCTTTTGGTTCCACATTGAGCTACCATATTTCGATGAAATACAATGAAGAAGGCCTCCCTGAGGGAAAATCTATTAATATTAAACTTACTGGATCAGCTGGGCAAAGTTTTGGAGCCTTCCTTGCAAAAGGGGTTCATATAACTTTAGAAGGAGATGCAAATGATTACGTAGGCAAAGGCCTTTCAGGTGGCCAAATTGTAATTTACCCTCCCAAAACTTCTCCATTCGAATCTCATTTGAATGTAATTGCTGGCAATGTTTGTTTATATGGAGCCACTACGGGAAGAGCTTATTTTAGAGGCATTGCCTCTGAGAGATTTGCTGTCAGAAATTCCGGAGCCATAGCGGTTGTTGAAGGCGTAGGCGATCACGGTTGTGAATACATGACAGGTGGTACAGTTTTGATCCTAGGTTTAACTGGACGTAATTTTGCTGCAGGCATGTCAGGGGGCATAGCTTATGTTTGGGATGTAGATGGGAAATTCTCTACAAAATGCAACATGGAAATGGTTGAACTGTGCAAACTAGAAGACCGTGAAGATTTGGGTGTAGTCAAACAATTATTGAAAGAGTTTGAAGAGTATACTGGAAGCTTAATTGCCAAGCAACTACTTACAGAATTTGATTCAAGAATGAAAGAGTTTGTCAAAGTGTTCCCTTACGAATACCAACGAGCTTTGAAGCAAAAATCTATCGAACCGACTGCAGTAATAACACAGCCAAATGAACCTAAAATTCAGGATATTGAAGATACGTTAGGCGACGGGCAAGAGCTTAAAAAAGCTGAAAGAGCTTTGGATAAACTTAGAGGTTTCATGAAATATCCTAGAGAGACCGGTATGTATAGGCCTGCAGAAAAACGTATGAAAGATTGGGATGAGATTTACAACTTCCAACATGTGAGGAAAGGTTTGAGAGTGCAAGCAGCGCGTTGCATGGAATGTGGAGTACCATTCTGCCAATCAAATTCGCACGGTTGTCCTCTAGGAAACATCATTCCCAAATGGAATCTTTTGGTGTTCCAAAACCAATGGCGACAAGCCTTAAATCAACTTTTACAAACCAACAATTTCCCGGAATTCACCGGAAGGGTTTGTCCGGCGCCTTGCGAGGCAGCCTGCGTTTTAGGCATTTCCGAACCGAGCGTTACAATTAAAAATATCGAATGCTCAATCATCGACCACGCTTTCGAAAACGGCTGGATTGTACCGCAAAAACCTGCGACTCAAACTGGCAAAAAGGTTGTCGTTGTTGGTTCGGGACCCGCTGGTTTGGCTTGCGCCCATCAGCTTAATAAAGCTGGACACAGTGTGACTGTGTTTGAAAGAAATGACAGGATTGGCGGGTTGCTGCAATACGGTATTCCAACGATGAAGCTGAGCAAACAGGTTGTTCAAAGACGAGTGGATCTTTTGGCAGCTGAAGGTATTGTGTTTAAGACTAACGTTAATGTTGGCAAGGATATATCGGCAAAGGAGCTTAGCGAAGAAAATGACGCTGTTGTCTTGTGTACTGGTGCTACGTGGCCTAGAGATTTACCTCTACCAGGTAAGATTTTTTTATTATTCATATCGAATATTCATAAATAGACATAAAAATAAAGATCACATATAAATTATATTTTTCGTTCAGTAAATCTTGTTTTTAAAAACTATTTATTCTATTAAAAACTGAGAAGTTACAACAGAAAATACTGGACTCTAATTGCTGCGGCGAAAGCCCAGAACAAAAGAATCTTTGATTCTAAATTGCTATAGTCTAAGCTACAATACAAATGAATGATCAGAGAAGGCTCTGCACGGCCGTATTTATATTAAAATACTGCTGACTGTTACGAAACCTTGATATGACGGTACTTTTCCAGGCAGTACCGCTTACTCAGCATCTTTATAATATCGTGAGCTTTTACAGTGGCGTCTGCTTATATTTAACATTGAAATGGAGAATTATTAGTATAATAATAACAGTTTTACAATATAACTTTTACAAGGCTGTGTTTATGTTTAGGTCGCCAGCTTAACGGTATCCACTTCGCCATGGAGTTCCTCGAAAGTTGGCAAAAGAAACAAGGAGGTGCGAAAATGGAAGGCCCCCTCGCCAAAGATAAACACGTCATCATCATAGGCGGTGGAGACACTGGATGCGATTGCATAGCAACTTCTTTACGTCAAGGAGCCGCTTCCATTACGACATTCGAAATCCTTCCGGAACCAGGCCCGAAACGATCCAACGATAACCCGTGGCCTCAATGGCCTAGAATCTTCCGAGTAGATTACGGACATGACGAAGTCAAAGTTCGATTCGGTTCTGATCCTCGTATATTTAGTATTATGACGCAAGAATTTTTGGACGATGGCAATGGACACGTGAGCGGTGTTAAAACTGTCAACGTGGAATGGACCAAAGACGATACAGGTAGATGGCAAATGAATACCGTGCCTGGAACTGAAAAAGTAATTAAAGCTGACTTGGTGCTGCTTGCTATGGGATTTTTGGGACCCGAACGAGCTATCGGGGATCAATTAGAACTAGAACTGGATCCTAGATCGAATTTTAATACTACAAATTACAGGACTAGTGTAAATAATGTTTTTGCCGCTGGTGATTGCAAACGAGGTAATAGTGATATTTTTTATATAAGAATTATTTGATTCTTACTCTTTACTATTTTAGGTCAATCTTTGGTGGTATGGGCCATTTCTGAAGGACGTCAAGCTGCTAGGGCAGTAGACGAATTCCTAAATGACGGTATAACTACCCTTCCAGGACCTGGAGGGATTATTCAGCCGACTCTTCCAGCAATGCACTGTCCCGTATAAAAATAAATTAATATTTTGTGAGGAAATAAATAAGTTACCAGAATTGATTTGCATCCAGTCAACTTTTGTAACTTATTCAAGCGATCTTTGACTAGAAAAAAAAAACAATAATAAATTATTATTAGATATCTATTGTTCCCCAAAAATAAATGTAATTTTGGGCCCAAAAAAAAAAAAATAAAAAAAATTCCCTACAAAAAATGTCTTGTGATGCTTTACATTTAGCAATGTGAATCATCACAAAGCTACTGTTAAGTTTAACTCTGAGAGTTATCAAACACATTAGTACAAAAAAAAAATTAAATTATTCATGTATACAGGGTGTATATTTTAAGTGATACCACTATTGCTATATCCGAAACGGTAAGAGCTACAAGGTTGGTTAAATTAGGAAAAAATTGCCTTTTTTGATGCTCATTTAAGACTCGTTTACAGTGTTGCCAAATTTTTTTTGGTTTATGAAATACAGGGTGATTTCTAAGAAACGCCCAAAACTATTTCATCAATTATTTTGAAAACTATTAATTTTCGAGACACAATTTAAATTTGAAAGTTTTTTAATTTTTCTCGCTCTACAACATGGTGTCATCAAATTTCAAATCCGATGTTTCGTAATCGAGCTACCATCATCAACTTCATTTTTTTAAATACGGACCTGGATTTTTTATGTCATATTTAGAAAGCGCCTTTTATTCCCTTTGTAAAAATGACATAAAAAGACCAGGTCCGTATTAAAAAAAATGAAGTTGATGATGGAAGCTCGATCACGAAACGTCGGATTTAAAATTTGAAGATACCATGTTGTAGAGCGAAAAAAATTATAAAACTTTCAAATTTAAATTGTGTCTCGAATATCAATAGTTTTTGAACTAGTTGGTGAAATAGTTTTTGGCGTTTTTAAGAAATCACCCTGTATTTCATAAACTAAAAGGAATTTGACAACACTGTAAACAAGTTTTGAATGGGCATCAAAAAAGGCAACTTTTATCTAATTTAACCGACATTGTAGCTCTTGCCGTTTCGGATATAGTAATAGTGGTATCACTTAAAATATACACCCTGTATGTATCCCATCAAAGTCGCAAAGCTTTATTTTTCGTTTATTCCCAGAACTTAAGTGAGACAAAAATAATTCTAGCCTTAGTTACTGAAGACAATAATAAACTCGCTGAAATGTGATGCGACGTTATAGGAGTAGGGCCGCCAAAATAATACAGTTTTAAATACATATTATAGAAAATTCTAAATTATTTATTAGAAAGTTATGAGGTCTGTTTTAGTGAGATGACTATCTGTGTATATACAGGCCTTAATTTGAAGAAAACAAAATTGTTGTGTAATTTGAGTTTGTTTTAAGTATTATTAAATTACTTAACTATAATTTGCTTTTTGTCTTTGTTAATTGTTTTTTAAAACTTTTTAAGGGTATGTTTTTCTACTAGTTGATTTTTTTAAATAATAATAATTGTTATTTTGATTTACGCTTAATATTAGTATTTAGTAGCTGAAAACATACCAAGTGCATCTCCATCTATTTATAGTCTACATACTGAAAAGCAGATATTTTTGAAAATAAATAAAGCACATTTAATTGCAAAAAAGTACAAATACATAATATTCACTTTGTATAAGATGCACTTGAAAATTTTGATGAATGTTTTATTGTTCCAAAGCAACTATTGTACTGTAGAGTTCATAGTCAATATTAAATAAAAATAGATGTTGTTACTACTGCATTAGTTTTTGTGTTTTATTTTCAACAATTATATTCAGTCGAGTGAAAACTGATCATCGATACTTTTCATTTGGACAAACTATTCCAATCAAAGATCGATTTGTATATGAAGAAAGATTTAAATCAAAAATCTTTTTCACAATTTAAATCATTTTAGGAAAGATTTTGAAAAAAAACACCTATTTAACACGTTCACGGTTCACGACCATGCGTCACACATATTATGTGACAAGCAGTTTTTTCCAGGAAGTGATGTCAGACATGTGCGACAATGACCCTACAATGATTAAATACAAATAACTCCCGGTTCAGCGGCGACGGATGTGATTTTGATTTGGCATCAGTTTCTGGGGGTGTTTGGCACCCATTTGTGTCGCATGGTTTCAGGATTGGATGATTGGTTTCAATCATAAGCTTATGGCGGCTGTGGTTTACATCGTCTTTTAACTAGTACAGATTTCTGTTGTTTCTAGACACTTATGATGACAGTTCTACCAGAGTTTGTCGTTATGACAGGTGGTATATTTCAATGGGAAACTTACCGGAAACCGATGTCACATAATATGTGTGACATTAAATATAAATACAAAAAATAAATAACAAAACACATGTAACTAATATAAAATATATTATTTCTGTTAAAAGTTAGGTTTACCCAAAAAAACGCGGTCGGATTCAAGCATCGTCCAATTTCATAATAGCGGTAGTGAACGAGTTAAAATATTATTTCTTCAAATATTAACTTTTTAAAAAAACGTTTACTGAATAAAAGTAAATGTTGCAACCATGTATGCACCGTCAAGTTTATAGAAACGGGACACGCCGCAATGAAAAGCGTACTCTAATTTTATCGCATAATATACAGGGTGTTCCATTGAAAAAAGTTGAAGTTGCCTACGTTTCTCCATTTTCCGATGCGATTTTGTTTTTTCTGATACTGTCAAAAGAAAATATAGAAAAAAACTGTCAAGTTTTGTATTTAAAAATTTTTTCTATCTTAAATAGTAAAGGCTGTAGGTATGGTGCCAAATATAATGTACATTAGGGCCTTGTTGAATTTACTAACATTTTCCTACCCTCAAGAGAATATCCTAGCAAATTGAAATAATCCATCTAGAGATATTGGCTCAAAAACAACTATAGCTGAGTAGCTTCCCGTATGGGACCTCAGTACCTGCTGGGAAACTGGTTAACTAACAAAGAAACTCTTCCGTATTGAATATAGGTAGTGTTGATTGAATGTAGTGTGTGTAATTAAAATTTTAGCACAAAAACAGGGGCGGTACATAGTTTCAACTTTTATTGAATTAATGACTCACAATTAAAATGACAGTATGCTTCGATTTTTGAGGAATGTTAGATCGAGGGTTTCTCTGCCGTGCTCTTTCCCCTCATTAGTTCCAGGATGGGAACGGTACGATTTACTTTAATAATAAAGTAGACGTTTCGCAAATTTTTCGTTTCTTTTACATATCACAACTTTCCCTAAATTTTCCAAATATTTGCTATGTCGTGCGCATGTCCAGTAAGTAAAATTGAGTTAGTTTTCACAACGTAGGTCCTATTTATTTTTCATTTCGTTTTTCAGAATATTTGTTGTTTAAAAGGTAATAAAAATTCACACCGTTCAATCTTGCTGAAGGAACCCGGGTACCAATGTTATACTACAATTTAAATCTTAAATTTTACAAAAGCGTTTTAATTTTTTTCTTATTTGAAGAGATCAGTGGCAGATTTAGAGCAACATCCTGGGGGGGTAGAGCTTCTCAACCAGTAACGGCTCGTGGTCTATACTTGAAAAAGTTCACACCCACACCCAGAGCAGGACCGAGCAGGGGAAGCCGAAGGCAGAAATTTTTTTCGGGTGCCACGCCCAAAACGCATGAGGTAGGCAGCAAGCATATTAGAGTAAAAATCAAACGAGAAGAAGCCACACCCAGGACAGGGACCCAGAGAAAAGGAAATCTGCCTTCTTTGTCAGCGCTGACGTCAATGGCTTCTTCTCGTTTGATTCTTACTCTATTTCTCGCCTTGACGTAGGCTGTTTAAACCAATATGGCGGCAATTACCAAAAACGAGGCCGATAAGCAATTCTTGTAGGTGTGTATCATCCTTCATTTGCTAGGGAGTTGCAAAGATATTAAAAAAATCGTGACGGGAATCAGTCCCAGGCAGCACGATGACTTATGAACAGAAAATTATGTTCCATACTGAGCATTGAACATTGTCAGCTAACCAGGGAGTGGTGGGGTAGGTACTTGTCAGATAGGGGTGCGCATGAGTCCGAAAATGCGAATTTCCAAAACGATGTCGGACAACTTGAAATTTAGGTGGATACTAAAATTTCATGTATACAAACTAATTGTTGTGAACATTCCTTTCCCATTCCTACTATACCAACAAACCAGTCCGTGCTACGTTGTGGTGACTGGATAAAACATTGTTTATTGCGATGTCCACAAGAAACCTGAGTGTAGAAGTGATTTATCTGCATGTGAAATAAGGCTCATGGAGCTTAAATCCAAAAGAAACCTCAAATTTTCCTGTCTGGATTGCCAATCTGATGGATTGTTGAATGCATATACCTAAATATAAAGGCCATAAGCGAGCTGAAAGAAGTCAACAAATTAAAATCACGACCGACTTCAGGCAGCATCAGCTACTCCAGAGGAGAGCAATTTTACAATAAACTCCAGGATCGTTAAGTAAGAAGCAACAATGTGATGGTGTTTAATCTTCCTGAAGGTAATGACACCGCTGAGATACAGCAATTGTTCAGTGCCTTGTCAGACAACTCCCCTGCAATTATTAAAGCAACAAGGATTGGAAGCAGCCACTTAGCACGAAGTACTCACCCTATTAAAGAATCGAACAAAGCTGAAGGGTGAAAGAGTCACTCCGGCTTGACCTCCCAACGACGTGCCCAAGAAAAGGATGTCCGTGCACAGCTAGCGAATCGATTATCTGAAGAGGAAACAAATTTGATTGTGAGATATCGTCATATCATTCCTTCTATTGTATTAAAAAACCAGCAAAGGGCTCAATTTCACACAATCAGCAACTATCGATCTCCTTCCAAAATGACAGAGGCCTCCGCATTAAGCAAAATTATCTTTTGAGGTCTGTCCCAGGGTGCCACTATATAAAGTCATCGTATTAGTTGAGACCTGGCTTAATGATTCATTTAATGATGCTGAATGGTGTATGCAGGATTACAAGATCTACAGAAGGGATCGGTCTCTCCAAACCAGGATTTATAATAGAGGCGGGGGAGTTCTAATTGGGGTTCACAAATCAATCAGAAGTAGGCAGCTATCTGTGGAGGATAACATAGAAGCTGTTTTTGTCCAAGCGGGAAATAAATCCCTTATCTTAGCTAGTGCTTATTTCCCCCTTCGCTCACCTTCCGCTATTTATGTTTCGTTCAGTGAGAATATTAACAAGTTATATCTGGAAACACCCCATGCAACAATTGGAATTCTTGGTGACTTTAACCTGCTTCTTGCAATATGGGCTCTAGGACCTGCACCCCCTAACGAAGCTGATTCCTTGAAGATTGTTTCCAACATGTGTGCCTTCCACAATTTATTTCAACTCAACATGATCAAAAACCTTTCCAACTCAACTCTGGACCTGATGCTTTTTCAAGATGAAACCTGTATGGTTTGCGTAGCTGACGATTGTATTGTGCCACTGGACGATTATCACCCACCCCTGAACTTAGAAATGTGTTTTAACTCTGACAATATAAATAGATCTCGTTTTTGCGAATTTAATTAGTGAGAACTTGGGAATCATAGGATGTTTTAATCTACTCATGCATGCTAGTTTGGACGATATGGTAAATATTTTCTATAGTATTATTTATTCCGCAATTCTACTGTTTGTACCTACCCCTTAAGAGAATTTGCTCAGGTAGATTCCCCAGATATTTTTCACAAGAGCTTATATAAACATTATATGATGAGATGAGATGATGAGAAAAAAAGAAAGCTCACAAAAGATACAAAATATCGGGTCTTCAACGCGATTATTGCAAGTTTGCTGACTTGTGCTTAATTTGCAAGAGATTGCTGACCGAATCCAATCAAGCTTTTATTACTTTCACAGAAAATTCCCTAACAACCAATACCAAACAATTTTGGAACTATGTGAACTCCAAAAGAGACAACCACGATACTCCTAGTGAGCTTCATTTACAATCCAGCAATTCTGGATTGGAAATTGCCAACATGTTTGCCGAATATTTCTCTCAAGTTTATACTAAGTCCAGATGGTATACCGCCATATCTGCTCAGGCATTGCAGCTTTGTCCTAGCGCGACCTCTATACAATATATTCAACTTGTCTCTTTCAAAGGAAATTTTTCCCGAATTCTGGAAACTATAGGCTACCTAACACCAATTCACAAATCAGGAAAAAAGGATCTGATAACGAACTATCGACCAATTAGTATTCTGAGCGCCATCTCCAAAATATTTGAACACATAGGTACTAACTAAATACTTAACCCCCCTGCTGAGTCCTCATGTTACTTGAAGTCATACATCAAGATTGAACGGTTTGAATTTTGTATCTCTTCTTTTAACAAATCTTCTCAAAAACGAAATAAAAAAAAAAAAAAAAATAGGACCCAATATCCGTTCACAATCCGATGTCCACTGGTACCGGTAAAATTTATCTCCTTTCAATACTATTTGATAGGGAAAGGTGATAAATTTACCAGTACCTGTGGACATCGGATTGTGAACAGGATATACGTTGTGGAAACTTACTCAATTTTACTTACTTGACATGCGCCCGACAATAGCAAAATTAGGGAAATTTGAGGGAAGTTGTGATATGTAAAATAAACGAAAAAATTTGTGAAACGTCTACTTCATTATTAAAATAAATCGTACCGTTCTCGACCTGAAATTAACGAGGGGAAGGAGCACGGCAGAAAAACCCTCGATCCAACATTCCTCAAAAATCAAAACATACTGTGTCATTTAAGTCATTTTAAT